CTTGATCACCTCCTAACTGCTTGCTCCCCTGCACCAGCCTGATCTCTCCCCTAACTGCTTGTTCCCCTGTACTGGCCTGGTTGCCCCCTAACTGCTTGCTCCCTTGCACCAGCCTGATCTCGCATGATCGTATCCCTAACTGCCTGTTCTCCCATGCCAGCCTGGTCACCCCCTAAATGCTTGCTCCCCTGTTGCCTGATAGCCCTCTGCCTCTGCCCCTGCCCCTGCCACAGTGGCTTTGTGCCGAGGAAGTGGGACATCCAGTAGATGTCCAGTCAACCTGGTCTAAAAAGCATATTACCCTTTTATTAGTATAAATACTCAAAGAAGAATCAATACCACTGTGTCTGAAACTCTTCTAAAGAATCAAATAGGGCCCTAACCGGTTTGGCTCAGTGGATAGAGTGTCGGCCTGAGGACTGAAGGGTTCAATTCCAGTCAAAGGCATGTACCTTGATTGCAGGCACGTCCCCAGTAGGGGGTGTGCAGGAAGCAACTGATCAATGTTTCTCCCTCATCAATGTTTCTAACTATCTATCTCTCTCCCTTCTTCTCTGTAAAAAATCAAATATTATATATATATATATATATATATATATATATATATATATATATATTTTTTTTTTTTAATCAAATAGGAGGAAATATACTCCCAAAGTCATTCAATGAAGCCAGCATTACCCTGACATCAAAATAATGAGATTGGACCCATATATAAACATTAACTCAAAATAGATTAAATATCTAAAGGGGAAAAGCTTTAGGTCACTGGATTGGCAGTGATATCTTGGATATGACACCAAAAGCATAGACAGCAAAATAAAGAGTAGGCAAAATAAAAACCTAACTATTATACCAAACTTCAAACTTCTGTATGTCAAGGGAAATAAGAGTGAAAAGGCAACCTATGAATGAAAGAAAATAACTGCAAATCTAATAAGGAATTAATATCCAAAAAATATATATGGAATTTTACAACTCAACAATTAAAACCTAGGTAAAAAACTTGAATAGATGTTTCTCCAAAGAAAATATACAAAAGCACACGATATTCAGGCCCTAGCTGATATGGCTCAATGGATAGAGCATCGGCCTGAAGACTAAAGGATCCTGGTTTGACTTCAGTCAAGGGCATGTACCTCAGTTGCAGGTTTGATCCCAGTCCTGTTCTCACATCTATGTTTCTCTGTCTGTTTCTCCCCCTCCCTTCCACTTTCTAAAAAATAAAAAATAAAATCAATGGAGCTCAGCTGGCATGGCACAGTGGTTGAATATCAATCTATAAACCAGGAGGTCACAATTTGATTCCCAGTCAGGGCATATGCCTGGGTTGTGGGGTCAATTCCCAAATTTGTGGGATTTTTATCTCTTTCTCCCTCTCACTTCCTCTGAAATCAGTGAAGAAAATATTTTTAAAAATCAATAGAAAAATATCCTTGGGTGAGGATTAACAAAAAAAAAAAAAAAAAAAAAAAGAAAAAAGAAAGAAAGAAAGAAAGAAAGAAAGAAAGAAAGAAAGAAAGAGATACTCAATATCACTAATCATTAGGAAAATGTAAATATCCCCTCATATCAATCAGGATGGTTACTTTTATAAAAGAACAGAAAATAAGTGTTAGCAGGAATTGAAGAAGTTGGAGCCCTCACACACAGTTGATGGAAATGTAAAATGGTGCAGTCATTATGGAAAACAGTAAATAAGTTTCTAAAATATTTAAGAATAGAATTATTAGATCATCTACCAATTTCACTTCCGGGTATATATCCAAATGAATTCAAAGCAGGGTTTTGAAGAGAGATTTAGAGACCCATATTCATAGTGGCATTATTCATAATAGCAAAAGGTGGAAGTAACTCAAATGTCCATCAAAAGACACATAATTAATGAAAACATAGTATATACACATAATGGAAAATTATACAACTTTTAAAAAGAAAATTCTGTTATATACTATAACATGAATGAACCTGAAGGAGATTATACTAAGCAAAATAAGCCAGTCACAAAAGGACAAATATTGTATGATTCCACACATATTAACACATTGTGGATGGATCACAATATTGGGCACACATTTTTGTTTGGGAAGATGAAAAAGTTCTGGAGCTGGATGGTCGTGGTGATTGCAGAACATGTTAATGTACTGAATGTCACTGAACTGCACTTAAAAATGGTTAAAATGGTCAATTTTATGTTATGTATATTTTAACTAGAAAATCCTATCTAATAAAAGAGTACCAGTAATATGCAGATGGACCATCACTCCAACACACAAAATGGCTGCCCCATGTGGTCAAAGATCTTGCCCCCGATGTGGACACAAGATGGCCACCACAAGATGGCCAGCAGGGGAAGTCAGTTGAGAGGGACCAGACATGCAAGCGAGGGCAGTTGGGGGCAATCAAGCCTGCAGGAGAGTAAAGTTTGTGGGGGAGACCACCAAGGCCTGCAGGAGAGAGCAGGGTGGGGGTGGGGGGGTGTGACCAGCCTGCAGGGGAGGGCAGTTAGGGGTGACCAGGCCTGCAAGGAAGGGAAATTGAGGGCTGGCAGGAGAGCAGTTAGACATCAGTCAGGCTGGCTGGGGAGTGGTTAGGGGGTGATCAGCAGTTAGGGGCAATCAGGAAGCCAGGCAGGCGAGCAACTGGGAGCTAGCAGTCCTGGCTTGTGAGAGGGATTTCCGACTGCCCGTTTAGGCCCGATCCTGGTAGGATCTAGAGATTCTAGACAGCCTGGTAGGATCAGGCCTAAATGGGCAGTCAGATATTTCTTTGTCTATTCCCACAACCTCCACCGCAGAGTTGTGGTATGTGGTGAATAAGTTCTTTACTAATTTATAACTAATTAAAGTGTCTGAAGGACACTTACCCCCATGCACACACCCCATGCATGAATTTCATGCACCAGGCCTCTAGAATATAATAATTGAGGGTATATGTTTGGAGGTGGGGTGGCCTTGACAAGTTGATTTTAAATTTTACATGGAAATGCCTAATTTGCGTGTCATCCTTGAGCAGCGGCCATGCTAATCTTCTCTATATCATTCCAATTTTAGTATATACTAGAGGCCCGGTGCACGAAATTCTTGCATGGGTGGGGGGGGGGGTGGTGCTCAGCCCAGCCTGCACCCTCTCCAATCTGGGACCCCTTGAGGGATGTCAGACTGCCTACCAGGCTGTCTTGAATCTCTAGATCCTACAAGGATCAGGCATAAACAGCAGTCAGACATCCCTTTCACAATCCAGGACATCCCTCTCACAATATCTGATGGTCTTAGGCTCAACCACTAGCAGAGTCGCCTAAGACCATTGGAAAACACAGATATTTACATTATGATTCTTAACAGTAGCAAAATTACAGTTGTGAAGTAGCAAGGAAAATAATTGTATGGTTGGGGGTCACCACAACATGAGGAACTGTATTAAAGTGTCACGGCATTAGAAAGGTTGAGAACCACTGGGATTGTCCAATATATAATTGGTATTTTTTTGTCAATACTCATTCTCTTGGCAATCTCATCTGCTCTCATGATTTAAATATATCTTTATACCAATATTTTCAGTTCAGACACCTCTCTTAAACTCCAGGCTCATTTATAATGTCTAGTAGACATCTGAAATTCTATGTCCAAAATTATTTTGTACATTTTTTCCCAAAACCTGCTCCACCATTTATTAACCACCTTATTTCTCTATAAGGTAATCTTATCCTTCCTGATGCTGAGACCAAAAAATTTGGAGTCATCCTTGTTTCCTCTCCCAACATCAGTAAATCCATTGTACTCCATCTGCTAAATATAACCAGAATTTAAGATTTTTTCACCTCCTCAACTGCTACCCATAGTTCAAGCCACATTCATATCTCACTTTGATTACTACAGGAGACTCCTATCTGGTCTCTCTGCTTATACCCTTAAACCCTTTACACACTATTCTTAACAAAGCAGCAGAAAGATCCTTTTAAGGTTTAATTTGGATCTCATTTTTCCTATTAGAAATTCTTCAGTGGTTACTCATCTTACTCAGAAGAAAAGCCAACTACTTCTGGTCCATGAACAACTTTTACTTCATCTTCATTGTGTGATAACAGTGCAGTGAGTTTTTATAAATGTCTCTTTCTTTTAACATATGCTTTTCCCTATGTTTTGTTGTTAAATTTTCTATTTTGCATAAAATAATAGTTGTTATAAGTGGGATGTTTTTAAAGCATTTTATTACTTAAAACATAAAAACTGGTAGAACTAAGTTTCAATGACTTTTTCTCTGTTTCTCCTTTCTACTCTCTATACATTTCTTTGCTGAATTAAAAAAAAACAGAACATTTGTACTGTATATTAAATTGAAAAGTTTGGGAACTGCTAGCCAAAAGGCTTTAACAAGCACAAACCTGCACTGAAAGCCCACTAATGCATAGGTAGGAGAAGCTACACTGGTTAGAGTATTAGACCCACACCCCTCTTCAGCTCTGCCGATTCTTGGCTATGTGACATTAGTTTTTTTGACCCTCCAGTTCTTCATCTATAATATCCATTATAGTATCCATTTCATAGAAATCTGAAAATTAAATGAGATGATACATTTAAAACATAATGACACCCAACAGTTACCTATGTATTTAGTTAATGCAGTGTTAATGCAATGGTATATGGTCGGAGAGAAGTGGGAAGGAGGTCAGTGGGGTCAGGCTACCATAGCAAAGAGAAGGATTTTATCCACTGATGTTTAGAACTACTAGCACATGATGATTAAAAAAAAAAAAAAAAAAAAAAAAAAAAGCATTTGGTAAGGTTCAGTATTGCTTTTAAGTTCTCTTCAATGTACCCTACTTGCCTTCATGAAGATGTACCACAGCAAAAAGAACATCTCCCACATCCACTCATTCATTATTAACTGAGAGTTAGGCACAGTGTATGGCAAAGACTGAAAAGGTAGTATTAAGAGTATGGTCACCATGTACTCTTAAATAAACTAAGGGTAATGATTTAGAAAATAAAAATATTCACCTTTTTTGAATTTATGTATAGGGAGTTTCTTAAGTTGATCTTTATGAAGTCTGTTTCTTCTAGCTCTATGTCTATCCTGGAAAAACTTTGTGATCTAAAAATAAAAGGGAAGAAAAGGGATCAGATATTAAACATGCAAATAGAAAATGGCCATTAACCTATCAAATATATTTTTTTTGCTTTCAATTTTTTTAATAAATCTTTATTGCTCAGATTATTACAATAACAAATATCTTTTAAGTTTCTGATTAGCTGCTGAAAGTAAATTCAATTTACTTAAATCCTAATGGCAATATTAATTAAAGCATTAAACTGTATTAGTGATTAATTACCCCATTATATTGTTTTTGAATTTTTATTCATTTTCCTAAATTATCTTTAATTTTCTCTAACAAAAACATTATAAATAACATGTTTTTTTGAAAACATACAAATGGTAAACTATAGGTTACAAAGAAGATCAAAAGAATGGGAGAGTTGAAATTCCTATAATTATAAACTAAAAAAAATTTCAAAAATACAGAACAACTCTATTACAAATATTCAGCTATGCTACATAACATACAAATATTTTTAACTGTAAATTCATATGTTTGCAAGAATTAAAAAAAAAAAAAACTCACAGGACTAGAACCAAATGCTAAAAGCAACATCCATAAAAGAAAGTTTTGGCAAATTTAACTACATCAATGTGAAGTAATTCTATCCTCAACACTGTTAAAAGGTAAAAGACAAGACAGTCTGGGGGAAATATTAGCAAACTGTATATCTGGTAAGTGATTTATATCCAGAATATAAAAAGAACTAAAACTCAATAAGAAAACAAGCAACCCATTAGGGAAAAAAATGAGCACAATATTTGAATAAACACTTCATCATAGAAGATTTAAAGATAGCATATAATCACTTAAAAGAGATGCTCAACATGGAGGGGGGCAAATGATAAGATATGTTCACGTATAATACCTTAATAAAAAGAAAAGAAAAAAAAAGATGCTCAACAAATTACTCAATAGGAAACTAAAATTCAAATCACAAATACCCTATGCACCTATTAGAATGACTAAAATTAGAATAACCAAACCAAGCATTGGCAATGAAGCAGAGAAACTCGCACTCTGGTACACTAATGGTAGAACTGTAAAATGGTACCACCACATTGAACATAGTTTGGTTATTTTTCATAAATTTAAACAGACATTTACCATTTAACCCAATCATCCCACTCCTACTTATATACACACAAATAGCATATATCCACATGACAATTTGAATACAAAAGTCCATGTCCAAATGTTCATGTCAGCTTTATTTGTAAGAGCCAAAAATTATGAACAACCCAAATATCCATCAATAATAAACAAACAAAATTGTAGTATATCCATACAATGAAAGATAACTCAGCTATAAAAGAAATGAATAATCAATGTACTCAATAACATATGAATCTCACAATAATTGTGAAAGAATGCAGACACAAAAGATTACATAATTTATTATTCCATGTATATAAAATTATAGAAAATCTATAGTGACCAAAAGCAGATCTTTAGTTGACTATTGCTGGAGGTGAGTAGGACATGAAATTGAAAGATGTTACAGGGAATTTAAATTTAAATATGTGAGGTTTATTATATGTCAATCATACATCAGTAATTGTTTTTTAAAAAAAAGTAACAGTGACTACTGTTAATGTAAGCTTTCAAACCAATATCAAAAACAGAGAGATGAGAGAGAGAATGAGAATAAATAAAGGTTGGGTAACCCAAATTTACAGAGAAGAAAAAAAAAAACAGAAGAAAAAGTAAACAATAGAAATTAGTCCAATAATATATAATATTAATATATGATTATATATTATTCATAAAAATGTAAATGGATAAGTTCACCAGTGTTTTAAAAGAGTGAATCATGGTATTTAAAGAAAAAGTGACAACTATATACTAACGCATTAAGACAAAAATAAAGGTAGAGATTAAAGATGGCAGCAGAGTAAGTGAAGACAGCACAGACATGTTCCCTGGAACACACAGGAATGACAACTAAAATACAGAAAAATTTCCTTTATAATCAATGAAGACTCACAGGAGAAAAAACTGATACCTGAGAACCAAAAGTGGAGGTCACATAGAGACTGGTTGGAAGGGTGGAGGGGCAAAAAGTCTAGCTAGGCACCTACAGAAAACAATTATCCCAGAGAGAGATCTCAGCTATGAGGGCTTGCCATTGAGAACTCTGGGATATAATCCCCAAGCTGGGCCCCCAAGCAAAGAGTACCATAACTGAGAAGGGTACCCACATAACATCTGGTTATGAAAAGCAGTGGGTTGCTATCTACCCTTTTAAAGGACCAATGCACTATGTTCCCTGTGGAGCCACTCACCTTGTGCTCTGGCAGAGGGAAAACAGAGTGGATTGAAGCAGTGTGAGCAGAAGCCAGGCACACCAGTTTCCTGAGCTAAGTCATTCCTTCATGCAGCCTGGGGAAAAAACAGTTGACCCACCCTATTGTAAAATATTTTTCCCTGAAGCCAATTAAGATACTAAAACTAACAATTAGCTTCCAGGAAGAAGCAATTGCCCCCATCCAGATTGAAAAAAAAAACCTCCCACCACATCTGAGGATGATTGCCTGAGGGCAATTCAAGATGGAATCCTATCAGTTTGTAGGCAGAGTGGGTCTCTGGAGAATTTTATTCCTTGCCTGATCTAATTAGTCAGAAACAGCATTTTGACAATGTCCTGCACTAAAGATTGAGAGGCATCAGGAGCTACTTAATACATAGTCACAAACACAAACAGGCAGCCAAAATGAGGAGGCAAAAAAACAACCCCCAAATGAAAGAACAAGAGAATTTGCTAGAAGAGATAAATGAAGCCGAGATAAGAAATTTATTTGAAACAGAGTTCAGAGTAATGATGGTAAAGATGCTCAAAAGCATTAAAAAAAAAAAAAAGATATATTAACTATGAAAAAAGAAGAGTCAGAAATAAAGAATGACATAACACAAATAAAGAACACATTGGGGGTAATGTACAACAGATTAGGGGAAGCTAAGGATCAAATCAGTAAATTAGAAGACAAGATTGAAAAAAAAAATCACTCAATCAGAGAACCAAAAATGAAAAACAAAAAACAGAAGTTCAAACAAACAAACAACAAAAACAAAACAACAAAAACAAAACACACAAAAAAAAAACAAAAAAGAGAAGGACAGCTTAAGGGACCTGTGGGACAATGTGAAAATATTAAAACAGCAAGTGTACCAGAAGAGGGAGAAAGGAATAAAAGGCTAGAGAACGTGTTTGTAGAAATAATGGCAGAAAACTTCCCTATCCCAGAGAAGAAAAAAGTCACACAGTTCAGGAGGCACAGAGAACCCCTAGCAAGAAGAATTCAAGCAGACCCATACCCATCATAATTAAAATGCAAAAGTTAAAGATAAAGAGAGGACCTTAAAGAGAAAAGCAAACTGTTACCCACAAAGGAGCTCCCATAAGGCTGACACCTGATTTCTCATCAGATACTCTACAGGCCAGAAAGGAATGGCATAAGTACTCAAGTAATGGAAAGCAAGGATCTGAGACTAAGATTACTATATCAAGCAAGGCTATCATTCAAAATAGATGGTCAAATAAAGAGCTTTCCAGACAAAAAAAAAAAAAAAAAAAAAAAAGCTAAAAGAGTACATCACCAGCAAGTGAGTATTACAGGAAATGCTAAAGGGACTACTATAATGAGAAAAGAGAGAGAGAGAGAGAGAGAGAGAGAGAGAGAGAGAGAGAGAGAGAGAGAGAGAGAGAGAGAAACCTAGACATACAGAATTAAAATGCCAATAATACATAAGTACCAGTCAATAGTAACCCTAAATGTAAATGGATTAATGCTCCAATCAAATGGCAAAGTAACTGAATGGATACAAAAACATGATCCAACTATATGCTGTCTACAAGAGACCCACCTCACAACTAAAGATTCACACAAGATGAGAGTGAAGGGATGGGGGGAAATCTCCATCCAAATGAAAAAGAAATAAAAGCTGGTGTAGCAATACTCATTTCTGACAAAATAGATTTCAAAATGAAGGCCATCACAAGAGACAGGTCACTACATATTAATAAAGGAATCAATTCGACAAGAGGCTATAACTGTGGTAAACATAAATGCACCCAATATAGGTGCATCTAAATAAATAAACTTTTAGACTTAGAGGGAAGATGGCGGAAGAATAGATGGGCGGATTCTGAGCCCTCTCCTGAAGCAGAAAGAGAGCAACTGATGGTCTTGAGCTGTGAGTGTTTATTAGCAAGCTGGGAGACAGCGAACACCAGAAGAAACTGCTGGGGGGCTGCTGACAGAGGTACCCTTCACAGGGAAGCACCCACGCGGGATACGTCCCTGCCCAGAGCTACCTACCGGCTTGGATAGGGAAACCTTGCCATCTTGAGAGGAAGATAGGATCCTGTCAGAGGCCTGAATATCAACAGCCGCAGCGACCAACAAGCAACTGTGACCCCCAGAACTGGGATCCCAGGCGGCGCGAACACCTGGCCCCACAGGAGTGCCACACTGCTAGGCGAAAAGGTCAGATTTCGCTGGGAGAGGGTGGAGCGCACTCGCGGCGAAAACAAAGCCTGCACGCACAGAGCACGCGGAAGCTGGAGGACAAGGGTGGTGATTACAAGTAGAAGCCCCCGCTGTTGGGCGAGTGTCACCCGTGAAAGTGGACGGGGCTCCTAACAGGGGAGATATCTAAAGAGCAACACATTTGGATCTGGCACGGAGGGGTACCAGAGAGTTGCCGGAGATTGAGGTTGCTTGGACCTGCCCCCTCCCCCCTCCTTAGTTCCTGCTTCAGAGAGGAAGGGAAAGAAAAAAAAAGCTGGAGAGGCTCTAGAGTCTAGGAAGACAACCTAGAAACACTGCCCCCAGAGGCTAATTCACAAATTGACTCTAGTGTAATAAAAACAAAGCAAAACCTGCCTAAAAATCAGGACTGGATCATAACAATAGAGGAAGCGAATGACCTTCATTACTGCAAATTTTATTAAAATTTTTTAAATTTTATCACTTTTTTTAATTTTTAAATTTTT